TCGACATAATGAACAATTCGGATTTGGCTCTCTTTAATATTTTGGAAACATTTTTGGAATCTTCTTCTAGTTCAAGCGAGCAAGAAGAAATAATTACAACTCTTCGAACTAGAAGAATAATTCCAAAACTATAAATTATGTAGAATGTGTGAAAAAAATGGATAATGACACCGTAAGTGTTATATCTTTTTATATAAACATCGAACCTATACCCTTTTTTAAAATATAATTAATGTACTTAATGTAATAGCATTTTTATACTGAATAATAATAATTTTTTTATATTGGTCATACGTGATATTCTTGATCATCTTCTATATTTAATTACATATAATAAAAAATCATTACTTAACTGAACACAAGATGTCGAGGTTACTTTTTCGTTCTTCCCGGAATCTAGTCAACTCAAGTGGCACTGAAAATTTCGGCGTGTTCTTTTTACCTACACTATTCAGTGCAACCCATGGAATTTGTCCAGTGTTCGTGTGAACTGAGTGCGCACTGGTGCGCACTAACTTTTTCCCCCAATCGAAAACGCTATATGATGAAAGTTACCCAATCAAGCGAGAGCTCATTTTCACCATACTTTAAAATATACAATCAATCCCCAGATTTCAGATTGTGTATACGTGTATGACAGCCGAAAATCATATGCACACATACGTAGCGCGACATTGTATGTGTCGTTTGAAGCGTGGCGGAGATCAAGGAGCGAAGGAGAAAGTAGGGGTACTCCGATATTGCATCTCTCTCAACATCGTATGATCGAGAGAGAAAGCAATACAAGACGTGGTGTCATTTAGTGGTGTCTAGTAGCTGTCTCACTCACTCGACTATGATTGAAGGAGTGCGAGTGAGACAGCTATACGGACATATGGACACCGCGGGTCGCGCTTGTCTATCGATGTCTCGTTTCCTCCGTCGTACATTTCTGACGTCGGACACCATTCCTGCCGGTCAGTGTACAAGAAACTAAAACTAATAGCGTTTTCGATTGGGAAAAAGTTAGTGCGCACCAGTGCGCACTCAGTTCACACGAACACTGGACAAGTTCCATGGGTTGCACTGAATAGTGCAGATGCAAAAGAACACGCCGAAATTTTCAGTGCCACTTGAGTTGATTAGATTCCGGGAAGAACGAAAGTAACCTCGACATCTTGTGTTCAGTTAAGTAATGATTTTTATTATATATGTAATTAAATATAGAAGATGATCAAGAATATCACGTATTTATCATAATTGTATGCATTTCATTTTTGGAAAGAAATCTGATTGCTGAAAACCATCTATTAATTGCTCACATGTTTCTGGACACATTTTGAAGTGCCTACAAAACTATGACAAATATAAAAATTATTATTATTCAGTATAAATGCTATTACATTAAGTACATTAATTATATGTTAAAAAGGGTATAGGTTCGATGTTTATAATAAAAAGATATAACACTTACGGTGTCATTATCCATTTTTTTCACACATTCTACATAATTTACAGTTTTTGGAATTATTCTTCTAGTTCGAAGAGTTTAATTATTTCTTCTTGCTCGCTTGAACTAGAAGAAGATTCCAAAATGTCTCCAAAATATTAAAAAGAGCCAAATTCGAATTGCTCATTATGTCGAATTTTCGTTCAAAGAATGCCCTACTGCTTGCATGCATCCAGTGCACTGAACTGGCACCGTCAAAATATCTCGTGCCACTTAGTGCGCACTGAGTGCGCACTATGCGAGTGTTGTGCGTTCAAACGAACACGCAACACTAGCCAAGTGCGCATTGGCACTACCAATCGAACACGCGCCTGACATTCAGTGCAGCCAGTGCACCCCAATCGAAAACGCTATAAACTAACTTCTAGGAACTTCTAGATTGGACTATGAGTTGGTAATCCTGAATCCAAAGTTTCTCATTGTCATCACGCGAGGTCTCTAAGGGTACGATTACATGGACGCGCGGAAACGCGGAAGAGAAAGTAACTAAACTTTACTAGAGTCCCGCATTTCCGCGCGTTCCGTTCCGTCTGTTTTGATTGCCTTATATTACATGGAGCACATTTTGAGCGGAAAAGCGGAACGGTATAGTGACAAATAGACATTTGTATTAATTTTTTAAATTTATATTTACTTAATTCATTGTAATTCCTTTTATATTTCATCTTTTCAACTTATCTATTGAATACAGCAATTTTAATCAATAAATATAGTTAAATATTTATATTTTATAATTCCCCGTTCCGCTTTTCCGCTCAAAATGTGCTCCATGTAATATAAGGCAATCAAAACAGACGGAACGGAACGCGCGGAAATGCGGGACTCTAGTAAAGTTTAGTTACTTTCTCTTCCGCGTTTCCGCGCGTCCATGTAATCGCACCCTAATAGCTCCAATATCAGATCGGAATCTATCTGTCATTTTTGTTGAGTAGTGTTGACTCTCAAGGACTTTTGCAGTATTGCATTTCTCTAAGACGAAAATCCATATAAAAAAGAAAAACATTTATACTTGTGAGGTATACAAAGTTATTGCAATTTCGTAATATATAATTTGTAATTAATTTTGTGAATCAACTAACTACACAATGCATGATCGGATAACATATAACAAATATATTGCGATAACGTCCATGATGATAATACCAAACTATTTTTATGTAACTTAGAAGAAAGTTGTATAAAATATAAACTCGAGCATATAATTTTGTGTGTATTTAAAAATGTATAACTTTGGAATAGTAGAAAATATTTATTTGTTATTTTTGTGAAACACAACATGTGTTTTAATATACAATCTATTCCTATTAAAAGATATGACTAATGACAATTCATTATATATTATATAGGATATTTTGTTTTAATACTGCTAATTATATCTATCTAATCCTATTGTCTAATAATAATAATTTAGTATGCCTTTATGCTAAACAATGTCTTTATGCTTTACTTTAATCATATTTGTTTTAATGTAATTTACCTGCTCACATTATGTCTTGTTTTAGCAAAATTTTACTCACAGTAGTAAACATGTCTACTGATGTGAATATGCAAGCTGAAAAGGTATGTATAAAACAATTTTATTTGCATGTTGTAATGCTGCTCTGTGTGGTTACTGGGATGAAAAATGATACTTTTCCATAATAAAAATGATACATATTGGTTTGCTATTATACATTGAGATTTTACTCATTCCTTTTCTGGAAAGCTGAAAATTTATAGTAAAACTAAAATATTAATTAATTGATAATAATTTCTTTGGATCAAGTCCAATGGAGAAGCGAGTGTCGATAAAACCGAAGAAGAAGAGGGCAGATCATCTAAAGACCTGCATGTGGTACCTATCTATCCAAATTAAATTTTGCTGCTTAGATACAATTCCTTTTCTTTATCCTGCTGTTTATATTGTTATTGTTTTCGATTTTTATAATTAAATAATTATACAATCTAATGTAATGAGAGAAATTAAAATGTATATATGTGAAAGTCATAATTAATCTTTTGAAAATTTTAGCAAGAAAGTGCTCCTGTTTATGGAGGTTGTGAGGGACCAAATGCAATGTATGTGAAACTGGTCAGTAGTGATGGACATGAATTTATTGTTAAAAGAGAACATGCATTAACAAGCGGTACTATCAAAGCAATGTTAAGTGGTCCTGGGCAGTTTGCAGAGAATGAAGCTAATGAAGTTAATTTTCGTGAAATCCCGTAAGTGTAAAGAATATAGTAAAAGAATAAGTGTGAATAAAATATAGTAAATATACAAAAGTTATTCACTTTCGCGTTTATAAAATATTGTTTTTTGTTATCGATCGTAATTAAATTATCTAAACAAGTATATTTTAACTATCAATAAATACAGTATATAGATAAACAAGTATATATATTATTTTTTTTCTGTAGGTCTCATGTGTTGCAAAAGTCTGCATGTACTTTACTTATAAAGTGCGCTATACAAATAGCAGTACAGAAATACCAGAATTTCCCATTGCACCAGAAATTGCCTTAGAATTATTAATGGCTGGCAATTTCTTAGACTGTTAAACATCATTTGCATTGGTCTGTATCAGCAATTAAATTACGGAACACTGCAGCTTTATTATGGTCATATGAATGTGTCTATATATTGTGATACTTCTGAAACTCATGTTGGAGCATAATAATTAAGCGTGTCAAACTCTTCAATTCGGCATAGATATTTTAATATTATAAGACAATGCAATCTTGAAGTTTTATATTAATTACTATCTTTAATATAATATTGTAAAGTTTCACAAGTGTACTACAAACATGTGACAATTACTGATAATGTTTATTATTCATGGATTTACCATACGTACATGTGTGTGTGTTTTATATATATATATATATATATATATATATATATATATATATATATTTAATTCATTACATTGTTTCAGTAAAATTGTTATTAATATTAGGATCAAATAAATCTAACGTTAAATCATAAACCTTATTTGTTATGTCATATAGTTAATATTATACTTTATATTACTTTATGCGAAATCAAATATATGCATATTTTTTTTATTAGTATTTATTCTCAATTTATATTAATCGTATTTATACTTGTATCATCGTCAAGATACTGGATTAATATATTGCAAAAAATAAGAGATTAGACTAAATAAAATACATAATTTCTAATAAAATTAAATTAATTGTAATTTTTACTTATAAAGTTTATACATTTTATGATATGCAAAGAAATATGTACAATACTACACTTTACAGGTCTTATTTAATTATTTATTAATAAATATAATGTAAAAAAAATATTTCATTATTTCTAATATAAGAAGTTTTCTATTAAGAATATCACACACAATTAACTATCGAAAACATTTTCAAGATTAAAAAAAATTCTCTATTTAATAGCCAATTGCATGACATATCTATCTGTTTTCTTACTGCAAATCTACATTCTTTATGCAATTATACATATTGATAATATTATGTCTGATATTATATATAAATACATATAGACAGACTTATATTTTTATAATTATGTAACTTTATTTGCTTTTTGTATCTTTTTCGAGGTCCTTGAATTTGGTTTCAAGTCGTTTAGAGTATGCTGCGAGTTTGTAAGCAGCTTGTTCCAGTTTGCTGACACTATCATCAATTTGATTAATATTATCTAGAATCGGTTGTAATTTTTGATACTTCTCATTCAGAGAATCCAATGATTGAACGACGTTCGACGATATAATCTTCAGCTCAGTATACTTGGCGATAGTTTCTTTGTTTAAACGTTCCAACAATTGATAATCTGCATGAGTAGAAGTGAGCTCCTCCTGCAGATATTCTCCTGTCTTCTCGAACATCATGTTTGCCAAACGACTTAGGTTCGGATCATGCGGGTCCAACGCCTCGAAACTGCTAGTACTGGTGGAAAGCGTGGTGCCACGTTTTGGCGATTCGTATCTCGAATACTGCTCTGCTGACAGATTTTCGATCAACGTTGGTTCGGTCTGCATTTCGTTCTTTGACAAATCCATAATTGACATGTTTATATATGACGTCACAACGAGTGCGTTCGCTTTTTAAGCCTTGTGTTCACGAAACTAGAAATTGATCCGAGTTCTCGGACCGAAAAATGTGTAGCTAATTAATATGTTTAATTTCTAGTATCGTGATGTAACGTCCCGTCTATTTTTAAATTTTCGCTTTTGATATAATCACATTGCGCGCTACTCGTACTAAGTAGAAATAAGATTACTAACAACTATTAAGCATTATTATTTGTTTAAACTTAATTATCTTTGCTTTTTTTGCATTAATAGTTAAGACCATCGAATCTGGGGTCCCCAGGCCGAGAACCAAGCATCTCCATCTAGTCCTAACCACATAATTTACAGATCGCCCACAGATTAATAGACAGATCGCCAAAGGTCTGGATGAAGGAGAGACCAGCATTTCTCACTGATTTCAGCGCCATATCGTAGTAGTGGTCAATGCAGTAACTATTAATACGTTCCCAAGATAAGAGCGTCTCATGCTCATGAACTCGTCCGGCGGCATGTACGAGATTTATCTTTTCGTAGCGTTCGCGTATTTCGGAAAGGACAGAATTTTATGATGTTATAAATAAATAAATAAATAAAATATTAACCTGACCTATTATAATTATTTTTTAATAAATGTTTCATTATTATTATCATCTAAGTCTAAGTCGTTTAATTAATTTTTAGTTTTTTAATAATTAATTTAATTTATTCTAATTATTTTAATATGTGAAAAATACTAATACGTATACGTTTTATAATGAATTAATATATTTCGAGAGTCGAATTATATATTTTTAATAATATAAAAGTGTTCAAAAATTATATTTGACTTTTAATTTTAATTATTTTAGCAAAGAGTTCCGAAATCTCTTACACACATAATAGGGATTTTGTTCATCCATATAATTCGCAATTAAGTATATATGTTAATTATTAATTTTAATAAAATACAAAATTAAAATTAAAGGTCAAATATAATTTTTGAACATAAATATATTTAATTCGTTATAAAACGTATACCCGTGATAGTATTTTTCTCGTACAAAAATAACTAGAACAAATTAAATTACTCATAAAAAAATTAAAAAATAATTAAATAATTTATATTATATATGATAATAATAAAACATTTTATAAAAAAAACAGATTCAATAAATATAAGTATTGAAAATCTCTCCTCCAATTTTAAAGTCGACCAGACTGGCAATAATTTATTTAAAAAATTAGTTAAATTACAACGTTTCGGCTGTCATTGCAGCCCTTTTCAAGTAATCAGATTAATACAATAAATCAAATTTACAGCAAACCCCGACAAAATTAACCATTGTTTTGATGAACAATGTATAACTGACAGAAGTGAGCACGAAAAAAAAAATAGATGTCGACTGTTAGCAGGAAACTTAGTCACAGTGACTAAGTTTCCTGCTAACAGTCAACATCTATTTTTTTTTTGTGCTCACTTCTGTCAGTTATACATTGTTCATCAAAACAATGGTTAATTTTGTCGGGGGTTTGCTGTAAATTTGATTTATTGTTTTAATCTGATTACTTGAAAAGGGCTGCAATGACAGCCGAAACGTTGTAATTTAACTAATTTTTTAAATAAATTATTGCCAGTCTAGTCGACTTTAAATTGGAGGAGAGATTTTCATTATTTATTACTGGCGACTCTTAAGGATTATCATTTAAATATAAGTATATATATAACATGTACTTATATTTATTGAATCTGTTTTTTAATAAAATGTTGTATAAGCTTAGAAAACTTGACTTTGACGTAACTAGCAAATTTTATTTAATTATTTCACGACGGTTTGACGTAATAAAATGTTTTATTATTATTATATAAAATATAAGTTTAAATTCTTTAATTAATTTTTAATCTTTTATGATTAATTTAATTTACTCTAATTATTTTTGTACGAGAAAAATACTATTATGGGTATACGTTTTATAATTAATTTAATATATTTGTGTTTAAAAATTATATTTGACCTTTAATTTTAATTTTTATTTTATTAAAATTAATAATTAACATATATACTTAATTGCGAATTATATGGATGAAAAAAATCCCCATTATGTGTGTAAGAGATTTCGGAACTCTTTGCTATAAAATAATTAAAATTAAAAGTCAAATATAATTTTTGAACACTTTTATATTATTAAGAATATATAATTCGGTTCCCGAAATATATTAATTCATTATAAAACGTATACGTGATATTATTTTTCTCATATAAAAATGACTAGAATAAATTAAATTAATTATTAAAAAACTAAAAAGTAATTAAACGACTTAGACTTAGATGATAATAATAATGAAACATTTTATTAAAAAAAGATTCAATAACTAGTAGGTCAGGTTATAATTTTTTATTTATTTATTTATAACATTATGAGCTATTAAGCTCATCATCTCGTTCGCTCTCTGTCTTGCTTTCATTCGGCAAGTCACAAACGATATATGATACTCGTATGTTCCTACTTCAACTCTCGAGAATCTGAAACAAACGAAACTCGTGTCCAATATACAGGGTGTCCGGTAACTAACAGACCAATGATTACAAATGGATTCTTTGGTCAATTTGGGAACGATTTTTCCTCAGCGAAAATGTCGAAAAAGGTCATCATTTTTTACAACTTTCCAATCTTTGTCATTATGTATCTTTATAACTAAGCCTTAAATTAAAATTTTATTATAGTAAACTCTACCTGAAATTAACTGAAGAATGTAATTATGTTAGACTTTTAACTCCAAAACGTTTAGTTTTCAAAAAACCTATTTTTTTCAATCGCTTATAACTCGAAAATTATTGACTTCTCAACATTTTTGCTAAGGAAAAATCGTCTCCAAATTGGCCAGAGAATCCGCCCTTAATCATTGGTCCGTTAGTTACCGGACACCTTGTATATATTATATAAAAGTGTATAGCACGTCAGAAGCTTGTGAGCTTACAGCGATAAGTAAAAACAATTGCGTATTTATTTCATTGCGTTTATCTGTTTAAACGCGCGCTTTAATTTTTCCAACGTTTTTGCCTGTTTATATTTTAAAGGTCCTCTCTTCTAAAAATCTTGTTTTAAAGATCCTCTCCGCGAGCAAAATTCGAAAACATAAATTATTTAATATTTTTACTTTATTATTTGTAAATCCTCGGTAATTTCAAAATTTTTCTATTTGAAAATTATTAATTTTCTATTGCCAATTAATTTTATCACAGACTTTACTCTTACTCCCATTGCACTTTCGTTTGCGGTTTTCAGTATACGATTTTTTATCGTAGTTACTGAAAATTATTATTGTGAATTATACTTGTGCAGTGATTTGAAGAATTTACAATTTCGTTGAAATTGTTGATTTTTCAAAAAAATTACGAGATTCGCGGAAATTGCGTGCTTTCTTGGCATTTTCCGTTCGCGGCAGGCGGTTTATTTTTGATTGTTGCAAGTGTTTTTGTTTTTTTTTTATTAAAATAGATAATAATAATGTGAAATAAATCACGATATTTGACAGATGTGCATATATATAGAAATTGTAATAATAATAATATTATATCATAAAATTGTAAATTGTTTCAATTTTTTATAGACTGCGATAAAAGATTTTACATTTGGATAAGAAACTGCGGTAAGTAAAAATATAAAATTCTTGAAAACGTAAAAATATTTGATAACGTAAAAAGGTGAACTTTGAAAAATAAGGAACTTAAAAATTGCACTAATAAATGGGCTATATGTGAGCCGTGCGCGGATGTAAGGTGTGTTATATCGAAATTTAATTAATAGAATTGAGAATTAATCCCAATTTTAAGTCTTACAAATGTCCAAGCTAATTTTTTGTACCTCGTGTACATTTTTGAAAGTTATATCGAAAAATTAAATTTCAATATGCGTCTTACATCTCACATTTCGCATACGGCTCACATATAGCCTATTTATCTCTTATACTTTATTTCAACCCTTATAGAAATTTATTACTAGTAACGCCAATTTATCACTTATTTCGAGTAATTAATCACTTTTATTTCGAATACTTAAATTACTGTATATTATAGTATTTTAAATACTCGAAATAAGTGATTAATTGGCGTAGTGATAAATTTCTACAAGAGAATAAGGAGCCTTTAAATTCTTAATGTAAAAAATTTCAAGTAATTTTCTTTAATAAAATTTAATTAAAAAATTTAATTAAAAAATTTTTGAACACTGTGTTATATCACATTTAAAATCGTGATTATTTCAATAAAAAAACATTTTATGTGTAAAAAATATATTTTTTATATTTAATAAATTTTATATATATATATGCATATATGTAAAATATTCTCTCTCTCTCTCTCTCTCTCTCTCTCTCTCTCTCTCTCACACACACACACACACACACACAACGGGGGCCAAATCTCTCAAATTGGTCTCATGATCAATTAGCCTGGATTCGCACCAGGGGCAAAGTCTGTTGGTAATGTCAAACGAATTTAGCCTGGACTTGCACCAGGGGCAAAGTCTTTTGGTCGAGTCTACGAAATTTAGCACGGACTCGAACCAGGGGCAAAGTCTTTTGGTTCAAGTCTACGAAATTTAGCACGGACTCGAACCAGGGGCAAAGTGTGTCGGTAAGGGGCAAAGTCTATCGCACGAAGATGGCGGTCTCTTCTTTAGGCAGGCCTTTGGCGATCTGTCTATTAATCTGTGGATCGCCAAAGGCCTGCCTAAAGAAGAGACCGCCATCTTCGTGCGATAGACTTTGCCCCTTACCGACACACTTTGCCCCTGGTTCGAGTCCGTGCTAAATTTCGTAGACTTGAACCAAAAGACTTTGCCCCTGGTTCGCAAATTTCGTAGACTCGACCAGGCTAAATTCGTTTGACATTACCAACAGACTTTGCCCCTGGTGCGAATCCAGGCTAATTGATCATGAGACCAATTTGAGAGATTTGGCCCCCGTTGTGTGTGTGTGTGTGTGTGTGAGAGAGAGAGAGAGAGAGAGAGAGAGAGAGAGAGAATATTTTACATATATATATATATATATATAAAATTTATTAAATATAAAAAATATATTTTTTACACATAAAATGTTTTTTTATTGAAATAATCACGATTTTAAATGTGATATAACACAGTGTTCAAAAATTTTTAATTAAATTTTATTAAAGAAAATTACTTAAAATTTTTTACATTAAGAATTTAAAGGCTCCTTAT